GTTTTATGTTTCAACAGAGATATGATATTTTCTTATGAAATATCGCGTATTAGTGTAATTTGCATGCTTTACCATTCATTGTACCATTCTAAACCATGTGAATGTTGTAATATCAGTCAGTCGGGTGGGAAAACAGCCCAATCTTCGCTCTGTTAAGACTATGTCAATCATTTTGCAAGTTGAAATTACCCCTGATACTTTATGAATACTTTATGACAGTTTTGGAGTCAAAATCAATGCTGATTATTCATAAACTTAATGCGTCGTACTATAGGCCTGTGACCTCTTCAGTGCTGAATATAGATTGAAAATACATCAGTCAATCAAAGATGAAGGTAACTTTATACACATGAGTTCTTGAGAAATAGTTCATGTTTTGTTCTTAGACTAACATTTCAACAATCGATTGTGTTCACACGTAGACTCAAACTGGTATATTAAAAAAATGTATACAGATAACAACGGTATTAGAAACAATAAACTCTGTAGAGACTCTTGTCTCCCATCCTTTGTTTGGTATGATTATGTCTTATAATTATTTTAGGAAGGAAGGTACAGTTACCAAATAAGATATACTCAAATATCAATTCATTATGACCATATTTCATAACCTATTTTTAAAGTAACCCTCCTCACATTAAAGATTACTATTTAAAAAATAAAGTACTTAAAGACATTGCAAACAAACCGAATAATCAGGGGGGAGACTTTATACTGAGGGGGGTGCGAAATATATCCGCCCGGGGGAGATTTTATTTCAGAACAGATTCTCCGGGGTAGAATCTGTACCGGTATAAAATCTCCGGGGGGAGAATTTGTACGGGGGAGAGTTTATACCGGGACACCGACTCCGCCCACTCGCTCTTTTTCCGACACCGCTCGTCGTACGTCGTCGTGCAGTGTCATTACATTCTGTGTTAGAGAATTAGTGACCCTCATATTTTGCTCTTTCGTGATTACGTGACGGACTCTTTCCATGTATTGACTTGAAGTTTGTTATCTCCTACATGTTCGCAAACTTATTCATGTGTTGAAACTGTTTCTGTAACTATGATTTTCAAACATTAGGGGAATTTATCCTACAATCAGATATGTCACTTATGTATAAGTCACTTAAGTATGTATTTATGGTGATTTTGCTTCTTCAGCTAAATGATTAATGACGCCATCAGAAAGCGTATGTTCTAAGCTTCATTTTGAAACTAATATATTCCGTATGGATACAGTAGTCAGTTCGCTATCAGTGTTGTCCCCAGGTCTAGAAACACACATTGGTTAACCCCCCAATACAGTTTCTTAGTTTTTTGCACTGATTTAATTAATCGGTGTATTTGGGCCTTTTTCTTCATCTATTGGTACGATGAGTTGTTAATAATAAACCTGTTCATGTGGGCCTATTACTTTGTTCTTGTTTAAATGACACCTCCAGCTCCAGTAATTAATATATAACAAACTTTCAATTCCTGCAATGATGGAAATGCACGTGGTAATTCAAATGGACACAACATACGAAATTCCATTTGGTAGTCTGACATGCCACTTTTAAAAGAAAACAAAGTTAAAAATAAATTTATTATCTGCTTGGTTTATACCATGTATATCATGTCATAACTAGGCACCTTCTTAACAAAGCAATCAAAGTCGGTGTTCATTTTAAATTAAAGCCTCACATCCCCCCCACAATTACCACTGTTTCGCCTTCTCCCATCATTGTTTACCACTTGCGTTTTTCAGCATTTAACTCTGCGCTGTAGTCAGATATCAGGTAACAATGTACATAAACACTACCGTAAAGACAGGTATTCCATTCAAGTGTAGATAATTAGTTGAGACATAGTCTGTGTTATGTCCAATAATTTCAAACATGGATTAAACTGATAATATGCTTAATGTATTCCTTTCTGTATTATGAATACATTGACATAATTCATGAGCACCATATTTGCTCAAGAGAGATCATTGACGTTTCTGTCATTCAGTTTGTCTGGGTAGTCGATAATACCATTAGCAGTGTTAAGGACAGCTTCACCGCCTATGGACTTACAACTATTCATATTTTGTCACTCACTTGTAATGCTTGAACTAAGGCACGTGACAGGTCATATTTAACACACAAAAAAACGTTTGGATTCCATATTAGAATAGGTACCTAGCAGTTATGCTTGTCACAAAAGGTGACCAAATGGATAGAGTGGGTAGGCTCGGTGACTTGGTTAATAACGTGTCCTTGTACCCAAACGGGGTCTATCCTTGTTCACAATATCGATCACTGGATTATTTTGTCCAGACTCGATGATATCCAGGCCGACGTCATCTCGTTGGAATATTGCTGAGTTTTGCATTCAACAACAAATAAAACAAAACAAAATATAACAACAGCCTCTCATCTGAGGCATGACAAATATATACCCACACGCAAAAGAAACCCAAGTCGTGTATGCAGTAAACATGTTATTTATTTTCAACAGTAAAGACAAGAAATACTAATTACAGTTTAATGGATCAAAAGGAAGATGACATAATTGTGTTTTTTTTTCAAATGTTAAGGGCTTACACAGTTTCGGGTCAATACCCAAAATGTCAGGCAATACCTGGTGTGACCACCATTAGCATTGATCACTGCCACACATCTCCTGTACATTGAGTGGATCAGACAATTTGTGAAAGCCCTAGGGATTCTCCTGCACACATCCAGAGCTGCTGTGCGTAGTTCATCGGCAGTTGTAGGGACTGGGCGCACATTGTGCAGACGCCTTTGAACCTCATCCCACAAGTGTTCGATGGGGTTCAGATCAGGCCTGAGGGCTGGCCACGGTAGAACACGGATGTTGTGTTGTTGCAGAAAGGCGATGGTAGCTCCTGCAACATGGGGACGAGCGTTGTCCTGATGGAAAATGTGTTGTTGATGTTGTGCAAAAAATGGAACAACGTGGGGTCACTTGGTCGATATACCGCTGGGCAGTGACGCCGTGTCCCCGGCCTTGACCAACATTCAGAAAGCACATGGGTCCAAGTCTCGCATTAAGTCCAATCTCTGCCCATATCCCATGGATCCCTTTCCACAACGTTTCTGTCAGCGAAACGATCACCTCTATTCAAATTCTGACTCTTCCGTCTGCATGGGAGACACAAAAGCGACCTTCATCAGAGAAGATGACACGCCTCCACCCACGATGACACCAATTGTGATGACCCTGTGCCCATTGAAGTCGTGCTTGTCGATGCCGGGGTTGGAGAACAGGACGACGTGCTGGTCGGCGACATCTGAGGTTGTTGGAACGGAGACGTCGGATCACAGTGTCCCGGCTAATGTGTCGATTATGTGTACCTATGGTCTGTCGAGCACTTTCACTTGCAGTTAGGAACGGATGTCGCTGGTGTTGACGGGTAATCTGCCGTTCTTGTCGAGGTGTGGTGACCCTAGGACGACCGCTCCGAGAAAGGTTATCTGTGGTCTGTGTTGCATTGTATCGATAAATTGTAGTTATGTTAACGTTGAATTGACCGGCAACATCTTGGACAGACTCTTCAGCTTCCAAACGTCCGATAGCCTGGTTTATCATACAATGGGTAGGTTTCTCGGCAGGATAAAGCCAACGGATAAAAACGATATCCGTTGGAGTCATATGCAGATAGTGATGCAAATATCAAAGGTCAAGTAGGGACTACTTTCACTGTTTATAAACAAACATGGCATCGCCCTCGTCATTCGGCGATCGAGTCCAATCGAATTAACCATCGGGAATCTGGAAAAACTACAGGGATAATTGCTATCATTATCAAAAGAACAGTCCATTATACTGAAAATCAGTGTCTAACTGTGACGTAGCTAAGGCATTTTAACAGTTTTGGCAATATAAATTTCGAAACACTTTTGCGAGGGCACTAGGCCTAGCCAAGCGGGATCAGTAGCCATATCTGTGCTTGTAGACCTCTGCGGCTTGAAACCTTCTTCACAAATTAAAATAGTTGGATTTGGCCGAAATATGTTTGAATTGTTACCTTGTTTCGTTTTGTCGCTGTGTGTACATCTGACTACACTTCTTAACGTTATGACAGGACAGACCGACTGTCAACAACGTCTGACCGTGGCCGTGACGTCTCATGGACTAGGGTTAGAGTAGCTTCCCTTTGACAAAGGGCAGTTTCTCTAAGGGACAGACCGATGGATTCCCGCGAAAAGCAATTAAAAACAATTGTTGTTTTGCGTATATGTTGCTTCGCCACTGTATAAGAAACAGATTTCAATTGGAACTATATTGGCTCTTGTCACTGTCCGACTGACACATCACTTACCCTCTGACGTAATAAATATTAATGCGCGCATTCCAGGAAAACTCGCAATGTTTCGGTAATGTTTGTGAGAGAGGGAAAGCGATTTTCAATCACAGAATTAAAGAATGATATTATATGATAAAGAGGTTATCACGCTTGTGCCAAGGCTCGCTAAATACAATGTTTATTCCTAATGCAGGATATTTACCATCCCCAAACACACTCGCGTGATAACCTCTATTTCTCGGAATTTGAGTTAGGCATGGCATTGTTGACCAAGGAGTGGTAGGTCCAAGAATCGGCCAGTTTTATACCCACAACAGTTCGTGACAGTTCGTGCATTTTCGATTTCGCGAGAAATGGGTGCATGATACCCACATACACATGTATTCATTGAAATGGTGCGTTTCGGCGATTCGTTTTTTATTCGGGGCTTCCAAAATGCAACCAAAAATATTGATAACACCATCAGGCTTAACTACATGCTAAAACTCCTATCAATTTATGGTTCCGTGTTTGTTATCTTTTTGCTTAAAAAACACTTGCGTTTCTTTTGCGTGTGAGTATAGATTAGGTATGTATACATACCGTGTGGTGAGAAAAAATGTTATAACAATAAAATAACTTGTTCAGCAGGCTGTTACAGTTTCTGTGACTTCTCTGTGCAGTACAAGAATGTGATGAATTCTTTCCAAGTAAATTTATTTCATTTTTCTGATTTTCAGTTTGTCATTCTCTGTAATGTAAACAAGGATTCCCAATGAGATGTTACTATGTGGTTACTGTGGTGAAGATCTCCCAGAAGGGACTAAAAGTGTAGAGGGAGAAGAGACGTATCATGAGGAATGTATCAAGTAAGTACAACTGTCTGTTCTATCCTACTTCTGCGTAGGCTTTCTATTCAGTTGCGCGTCTATTTGACGTTCAATATTGAACCCTATTTTTATACCCCCGACAAAATGTCTGGGGTATATAGTTATACCAAAATTCCGTCCGTCGGTCCGTCAGTCCGTCAGTCCGAAAACTTTGTCCGCGCGATCTCTCTTAAACTATTCAGTGGATTCATCTCAAACTTAGTACATATAATTTGTGTCATATGGAGGGGTGCAGTCAAAAGAAAAAAAAAGTTTTTATTAATTTTCCATTTTTTTATGAATTTTTCAAACCCTAACATCCGTCTGAAAACTTTGTCCGCGCGATCTCTCTTAAACTATTCAGTGGATTCATCTCAAACTTAGTACATATATTCTGTGTCATATGGAGGGGTGCAGAAAAAAGAAAGAAAATGTTTTATTAATTTTCAATTTTTTTTTGAATTGTTCAAACCCTAAGGCAAACCCTTTCCTAGCTATTTAATTTGTATCTATTGACACGGGGGTATTAGTGAGCCACGCTCACTTTTGCACTTGTTTTAAATGCTTTCATGTATGAATCTGGCTAGAGCGAATCTTGGAAAATAACTTAAATTTTGAACATACGAGAATAACAACTGTTAACCTGAAAATACAGGACGGGTGGTTATTGATATTCTTAAAACACAGTGAAACAACCGCCCTGGCACTGTAGCTCACCTGAATTGATTTTTTAACTGTAGTTTTATCCAATATTTTCACCAAAAGTAGCTTCTGATGTCTTACAGCAAGGTAACCCGACATGATAACCCACATCTACATCGAGTATCTGAATATTTAAGTCTGCTGTATCTGATTAAAAAAACGAAATGAGAAAAGTGTTTGCATAATATTCTAATAAAAGTGACAATATATTTTCCATAATCATAAGAAATCGTTCCCCGTGGGGATCCGGGGTAGAATGGATCCCCCACATCCCATTGCTGGTCGTAAGAGGCGACGGGATCGGGTTGTCAGCCTCGGTGACGTGGTTAATGCATGTCATCGCATCCCAATGTTCATGATGTCTAATCCAGAATCGATGATTTACAGACCGTTTTTCAAATGAAAATTCAAACATTAACTGTATATCAGTCTATTGGACCCATTTAAGAGAAAACATGTTGCATTTGTCATAGTCCATTTGTACTGAATGCATTACCCATTCAACGACTGCAGTGTCCGAATCGATACAGGGATCAGTCATAATGAAATGAGAGTGACAAAAACCCTTCTCAAAATCAAATCTTCTGAAACCAGAATCCTATGTTTGACATCAACCATATAATAATTATGATTTTATGAGTCACTATCAAAAAGTGATGATACCAGGCCACGGTATCATGAAACTAACTTAAGACCATATTTTGTTATATTGAGGATCACGAAGCTCAATCTATGATAATATCTTAAGTCTAAGACAAAATTTGAACTTGAGACTGTCCCTTAGTAGACTATAGACAAAACGTCTTGCAAGAAAGATGGCGGAGGTTGTTCGCCTCATGCGTTGCCTAGGGGCTAAAAAAAATACCAATTCCAACGACATTTCGAGACCTCTTCAACCCTCTTGATATGTACAACGACGAAGAGCTCTTTGAAAGATATAGATTTCGTCGTTCTACCATTTTTTGCATCGTTGGTTTAATCGGTGATGAACTGGCACACCCCACTCAGCGTTTCCACAGTCTCACCTATTATTCAAGTTTTGATATTCTTCAGTTTGTTGTCACTAGGGCTTTTCACCGTTTAGCTGCTTACTCGTTTTGGGTCAGCCAAATTGGCTAGCGTTTACAAAATCACGTTATACGTAAACCGGTTATGAGACGCCAGTAACATCACGTTGCTTCAAAATCAGCTGCGATACCTACATCCTTGAATTCCCCATACATTTTAGAAGCGAATAACAAATTCAGCCATTCAGCTGTTCGTTGAATACATTGGCTCAACATTTTCAGAATATACATGGGAAGAGAATCGCAGGACGAATAAGGGAATTAAAAATAGATACATTGCAATGATTTGATATTTTCAATAGAAATTGTCGAAGTTTCCGTCCTGTGTGACGCCATGACTGACGCAAGATCACGCACAACGACAACGGTATTTATCGGAATTACTGGCTATTTCCGTTGGTTACAAAAAATATAACAACAAATAACAGTACACAGAGTGTCAGAATGTTTGTGATTACTTACAATGTCACATTTGTGTATGTAGTCCCCTCGTAAAATCCCGCACACTGTTGGCAGTCAACAAGGCATTTTGTAAAATTGAGGCGAAGGTCCTTGAATGAAAGTACGGACGATCATTGTACCCTGCCTGCAGTTTACTGTTTCATGATGTAGATCTTGCATATCTTTTGTACATTTTTTCACACATTTAATTTCAATTTGGATGTTAATCAGTGTTCAATATGATATCATACTTAGAGACCACAACAGATATGAACCATTGATAATTTCCTGTTTGTTTGAACAATGTTTACATATGAAATTAATAAGTTTATAGTGTCATATACGATATTTCCTTCTTTTGGACAAGTGTTACAAGATGAAATGAGAACATGTTTGTATTTCTAGAGCATGTAATAGTCAATATTATAAGTTCATATAAACAGTGTCCATTAATAGCCGTTTCATTTTATTTTTTCTAACTTAAACTGAAAATATAACTTAAACAAAATGGATAATATTTTTCGTTAAAATATATGCACACATTTCTAGAAGAATTGCCTTGGTTTTGTAATTATTTTTTATGCCGTTTGATATACAGAGCAGTGATATCTAAGGTTTCGCTAGTCACAAACGACTTATGAAATATTCCTCTCGTTTTGCATTATATAATCAATAGGTTCATTCTTTTTGAAATATTGTGACCACAGGATATTAAACTGTTAACTTTATTACTCCAAGAATTGAAAAAAGTTTTCAAATATTACCCTTGCCATGTACCCCGTTGCTAGACGATTGTCCTTATACGATTGATAATTCTATACCAATAGAGCTTTCTTCGTGTCTTTTATTGTATAATTTTGAGACAAGATGATGAGAAACAATTACATAATAATGAATAAAAACATGTCCAATATTGAATATAATTGTGTTTGTTTTGAAATATTCTTTTGAGTACTTGATCACGTGAAATTGATGCCAAACAGGTGCGTGTCTTGTTCAATTAGGATAAACTGTAAACTATCGAATTGTTTATCTATTCAAGACATTATTTAAATGGTAAACGCAGTCTTTTTATGTTGTGTCGAAAAAGTTTCAAATTTCGTTTAACACAACGACTTTTTCCATACCATGAACGAAAATTAGGGAAGATATATATTCATCAAAATATCAGTGTCGTCTTTCTCCGACGTTGTCAAAGACATAAAAACAGCCATGACGTCAAATAGAATGGTGTCATTTTTGAGTAATTCATTACATTTGATGATACGGCTAGTGCTCCATTAATAATCGTGCAACATTAGTCAAATTACACTTTCACAATCAGGAGAATGTTGGAATCTCAGGGCTAATTTATGGGTTAGATTTGGCCATCCAATTCGCTATTACTTATTTTTTAAGTACAATTCATTATTTCTTACGGGTTTTTATGCCTAAACGTATACAGTTTCAATATCGATATTTGTGTTGGAATAGTTTTGTTCCTCGTGAACAAAACAACACGAAAATATATTGTCCTCACCCACAGCTAATTCTCACCAAGAGACCTTCGGCACAATAAATTAGAGCTAAGCACAGCGGAGTTATGCCATTTCTTTGAACATGTGTAACCTCTCTGTCGCCTTTTGACATCATAGAGGTAAATCAGGTTTTGTCATTTTCGACAGATTATTTTTTGCAGTGAATTTATGTCGTTATACATACGCATATAACTCCATTTGATATATATTTATGTCATTCAAATAGTAGGCAGTATTTTGTTTCGCTCACAGTTTCGGTAATAAAGAAATCGTCGGACAGTAGGGCTAATTTATGGGTTAGATTTAGCCATCCAATTCGCTATTACTTATTTTTTAAGTACAATTTCATTATTTCTTACGGGTTTTTATGCCTAAACGTATACAGTTTCAATATCGATATTTGTGTTGGAATAGTTTTGTTCCTCGTGAACAAAACAACACGAAAATATATTGTCCTCACCCACAGCTAATTCTCACCAAGAGACCTTCGGCACAATAATAAGAGCTAAGCACAGCGGAGTTATGCCCCCTTTTCTTTGAACATGTGTAACCTCTCTGTCGCCTTTTGACATCATAGAGGTAAATCAGGTTTTGTCATTCACGACAGATTATTTTTTGCAGTGAATTTATGTCGTTATACATACGCATATAACTCCATTTGATATATATTTATGTCATTCAAATATTAGGCAGTATTTTGTTTCGCTCACAGTTTCGGTAATAAAGAAATCGTCGGACAGTATTTTTATCGGTGTACGCTAAAAAGCGGAGAAATTTCTTGTTTTTCAATGCAGTATAAATTCTAGGACAAAACTTTTTAAACCTGTTTAATATTTACCGTTAAATTTACACCATCTGATAGGAAGTTTAATATACTACATCTCTGCCTAATTTTATAGCCGGAGGTAGATCCAGTGCCGAGTAAGCGCAATTCTCGCAAAAACCTTCACTTTTCCGATCTTAGGAAAATGTGCGTCAGAAAAAAAAACTCGGCATCCAATGATAACCGTAGTACGGTATAACGTGTGCGTGTCCCTATGACGACGGTCTTAGACTTAGACTTAGCCAATATTTTGCCAAGACCGTTTAAAGATCCAGTCTTAGACCGAAGCTAAGCAAAATCTTCAAAATTTAATTTAATTTATTAAAATTCGTGCTCAGCAAACTTTGAGCTTAGACCACTTTCATGATACCGGGGCCAGGTGTTCGAGAACCTGGTCTTACTTGGGATCCTACATTCATATCACCGTTACATATAGTGAAAGATGACTTT